TTTCAATACTTTTATATTTTATTTTATAAAAATAGTTCTCATTATAGTTCACAGAAAGCTTCATGCTTTTGATAAATTTTTTGCCCCTCTTAGAAGATAGTTATATCCTTAAGATACAGGTTCATATCCACTCTCAGTCAATCATCTGTTCATTCATTAGGGGGTATTCACTCTGGGTAAAGTTCTTTTCCTCAGTATATTTTTAAACATACTGATATCTCAATAAACTCTAAAAAGATTCTCAAAAATTATTTTAAGTACAGTATGGATTTTAAATGTTATTTTGCTAAACTATTAAATGCCAATGCCATTTGTACATTAAAATTACAGATTAAGGGCACTTTAAAATATATTGTTTTATACAGGCACAGTGGCTCACACCTGTAATCCTAACACTCAGGTAGGTGGATAGCTTGAACTCAAGGGTTCAAGACCAGCCTGAGAAAAAAGCGAGTCCCCCATCTCTACTAAAAATTGAAAAAAAAAAATGAGGCCAGAGGATCACAAAGACTGAAGCAAGAGGATCTCTTAATCCCAAGAATTAGAGGTTGCTCTGAGCTATGACTCCACAGCACTCTACCCAGGGCAACAGCTCTGTGTCTAAATAAATAAGAGACTCTGTGTCTAAATAAATAAGTAATAAAATACATTATTTTATTTGATACAAATACCCTGCATTACTATCCCTATGCTAACTAAACTGAGCCTTAGAGAACATTAATGGCTTACCTAAGTTTCCACAGAATGTAGGTGATGGAATAAAAACTGAAATATATGTTTTATGTCTCTGTAAATCCCCCTCCATTAAACCTACTTCCACTGATTTTAGTAGTCAAACTCAGTAGATCTATGATAGTCTAAATCTAATTCACTCTGCAGTTCTCATCTGTTGACCTCTCTGATGCATTTAAATTCCTATTATTTCCTGAAAATGTCTCTTCTTTTGACTTACAATAATTTTCTCTTCTGATTCTCAGACCACTGAAGACTTGTCTAGTTCTGTTGTTGATCTTCATGTGCACTTTCAAAATTTTCCTGGTTTCATCTAGTACTTATAGGCAGATGATCCTGAAATCTGGATCTTAGCTCCAGACCTGTGTTTTCAAATGTATGTTGAATGTCTATATCTGAGTTCCCACCTTAACATCTTTTATAAAAGCATCTCTCTGGTAGTTTTTTGCATTAATTTGAAACATGTTAAAGGGATTATTATGGACTATATACTTTCTTAAATGTTATGAGGAAGACAAACATGAATCAAACCTAGATTCTTATTGAGGCATGTAGAACTCAATGTGTCCTAAGACTTTTATTTTAGGTACTACTGGCCATGTAGTAGATTTCTCAAGTTCAAGATCTGAGTCATCTTTGAAAAGTTCTGTCCTTGATAATCTTTTTACTGATCTCCTCATCTATACTCATTCTCTTCTTAATTATCTTCTTGAAATAAATTCTGTTCACCTCATATATCTGTTTAAAAGCAATTAAGGCTGGCAACCTGTAGAAGACTGAAACTGGACCCACACCTTTCACCATTAACAAAAATTGATTCTCACTGGATAAAATATTTAAACTTAAGATACAAAACTATAAAAATACTAGAATAGAGTTTAGGGAAAACACTTGAAGAAATTGGCCTGGGACAATATTTTATGAAGAGGACCCCCTGGGCAATTGAAGCAACACCATAAATACATTACTGGGCTAAGATAAAAAATACATTACATGCACAACAAAGCATTTGCTTTTTAGTTTGATCAGACAACCTTCAGAATTGGAGAAGATTTTTGGAGGTTATGCTTCCAACAAAGGTCTGATAACTAGAATCCACAGAGAATTCAAACTAATCAGTAAGAAAAGAACAAATAACCCCCTTTCTATGTGGGCAAGAAACTTGAATAGAAACTTCTCTGAAGAAGACAGCCTCATGGCCTACAAACATGAAAAAAATTCTCATCATCCTTAATCATCAGAGAAATTCAAATCAAAACCACTTTGAGATATCATCTAACTCCAGTAAGATTAGTCCACATAACAAAATTCCAAAACTACAGATGTTGCTGTGGATGTGGAGAAAAGGGAACACTTCTACACTGCTGGTGGGAATGCAAGCTAATAAAACCTTTTTAGAAAGAAGTTTGGAGAATATTTAAGGAGCTAGAAGTAAACCTATTATTCAATCCTGCAATTCCGCTACTAGGTATATACCCAGATGATCAAAAGTTATTTTACAACAAAGACATTTGCACCAGAATATTTATTACAGCTCAATTCATAATTGCCAAGATATGGAAACAGCCCAAGTGCCCATCGACCCATGAATGGATTAACAAATTGTGGTATATGTACACCATGGAATACTATGCAGCCATAAAAAGATGGAGACTTAACATATTTTATGTTTACCTGGATGGAGCTGGCACATATATTTCTTAGTAAAGTATCTCAAGGATGGAAAAGAAAGTATCAAATGTACTCAATACTACTATGAAATCAATATATAATCCCCTACACATTCATATGAATGGTAAAACATAACTATAGTCCAGAAAGTAGAAGGGAAGAGGAGAGAGAGGGGAGGGGCGGGGGGAGGAAGGAGGAAGGAGGGTATTCGGGGGTACCTTACCTAATGTGCATGATGCAATGGTACATTTCAAAACTATTAAGAGTATAATTGTCTTACCACAACAAATAAATAAGCAAGGTGATGGATTTGTTAATCAGTTCAATATAAGCATTCCACATTGTATATCAAATCAGTACCCTGAATCCCATAAATGCATCAATATACACAGTTATAATTTAATAAAAAAATTAAAAAAAAATAATAAAGTAAAAGCACTTAAAAACGTCTCCCTGCTTGCAGAGAATCAAGCTCTATATGCCAATTATGTCTCCTATATGTAACTTCACACTTTTCCAAAGTTGGTGACTTGAATTATTTTTTTTCCTTCACTTGGAATATCATTTTATCTTCTATCTCCTTTCTCATATTTAAAATATCATCTTAACCACCTTTCAGATGCCAGATATCGTACCTCAGCACTTGGCTGATGGAATGCAACCTTTCTTCTTTTCAACTCTATCCCATAAGTTCTTTCTCTGTACCTTTATGGGCACATGTCACTTTCTACCCTATATTTTACATGATTGTGTTAATATAGTATCTAAACCATGCATTGGAAAATATTTTTCTGTAAAGGGTGAGGTAGTAAATACTTTATGCTTTGCTGTCCACATAGGGCCATGGTGTTCTTAGTTTTTTTTTTTTTTTTTTTTTAATTTGCAGTCCTTAAAAATCTAAATACTTTTCTTGGCTTGAAGATAGTACAAAAACAGTGTGCTGTAGTTTGATGAACCCTGATCAATATTAAATTCTCCTGGTAATAATATAAGCCTGATTCATGTTTTTATGCCTCATAGCATTTAGCAAAGTACATCATGCATAGAAAGCACATAAATGTGTATTTCATGATTTCAAGTATCTACCAAAGAGACTGTTTTTTAAAAAACAAACACACAAAATAACTTCTGTGGGAGTCTTTCTAAATACATCTATTTTTAGATTTGATAATTCATCATCTAATCAAATGTAGTCACTTATATATTTGTTCTATCAAAGTATCCAAGGAACATTTAGTTAAAGTACCCTTTATTCAAACTCGAGTACAAGAATTGTGTAGCTTTTGGTTTAAAAGTATCTTGCCTTCTCAATAACCAGTGTTTTAGTTCAACTGTTCTAAGAATATTTATAAAAGCAGACTAAAAAAAAATGCTACATTTTGTTGATTTTGAAATGGTTACCATTACACATTAATGGCAACAGGCTTGGCCATATACCCTTCTATACTATTTCCCCATATTACCATATAAATGAATTCACTTTTGTTTTATAGGAAAGAAACAGCTTTCTCTATGCAAGTAAAGACTCAAATGAATAACCAAAGAAGTGAAAAGAATGTAGTGGACATTATATTTATTGTGGAATCCTGGTTTTATTCTTATTAGTCCTCCTCTGGTTTATTTCAGATCTTAAACATGTCACCAGCCTATATGTCATTGACTGGCATCTTCTAAGCACTTTGGCTAATGCTACAGCAATTTAGTTGATTATATGGAGATACACAGGGGCTCTTAAAGCTTCTACTCTGTTCTCAATATTCAAAACACATGTTGTTCTGAGATCCTTATCCTTGATTATAATTACAAATAATAATCGATACTTCAAGGGCACCAAAGTTGAGTCCCCCCAAAAAAACCTTTAGTATAGTTATACCTACTTTATTGCTTAGTTGTACTAAACTATGTTTATTTTTCATTTCCCCAGCAATATTTTAGCATGGAAAAAAACCTGCCAGTGATCCCAATTTAAGTGAGGTTGACATTATGTTTGTGTAACTTCGAGAAAACATTGCCTTGCCTTAGAAACAGAATAAAAGCTATCTTTCCCACTCCCCACCAATTTCTTCAAAAGACTTTGTTAAACATAGTAAAATGTAGTAGGATAAATCCAGATTGTATTCTTTCATAAAGTGGACTATCTTTAATACCATGTTGCATCTCTCAGTATATTATTGGGATATCATTCCACTCTCCTCCTAAAGTCTGTCACTACCTCAGAACCTGTTAGAGACTGGATATTTGGTTAATTTAAGGTTACTCTAAAAAGATAACTTTCAAAATAAAATAAAACAGGCTCGGCACCTGTGGTTCAAGTGGCTAAGGTGCCAGCCACATACACCCAAGGTGGTGGGTTCGAATCCAGCCCGGGCTTGCCAAAACAACAATGACGGCTGCAACCAAAAAATAGCCAGGCATTGTGGTGGGTGCCTGTGGTCCCAGCTACCTGGGAGGCTGAGGCAGGAGACTCACTTAAGCCCAGGAGTTGGAGGTTGCTGTGAGCTGTGATGCCATGGCACTCTACTCAGGAGATAGCTTGAGGCTCTGTCTCAAAAAATAAAATAAAATAAAACAAAACATATTCTTCTCTGTCTTTATAGGAACCACTGTCTCCATTTCAGAGAGGAAGCCATTTCTTCCCAGGAAACAATGTTATTTATGAAAAGACAATAAGAAAAGTGGAGAAGCTAAATATAGATCAGGTAAGCAATATTTATTTAAAAATTTGTTTTGTGTATGTAAACATAAAAGATGTAAAGCCTTCATCTTTTTAATGGCTGAATAGTATTCCATGATATAGATATACCACAATTTGTCAATCCATTCATGGATTGATGGGCACTTGATCTGCTTCCACAATTTGGCAATTATGAATTGAGCTTCAATAAAAATTCTGGTGCAAATCGCTTTGTTGTAAAATGATTTTTGTTCTTTTGGAATTGTGGGATCAAATGGAAGGTCAACTTTTAATTCCTGAAGGATTCTCTACTCCATACTTTTTTCCATAAAGATTGTATTAGTTTACAGTCCCACTAGCAGTATAGAAGTGTTCCCCACTCTCCATATCCATGCCAATATCTGCAGTTTGGGGACTTTGTGACATGGGCCATTCTTACTGGGGTTAGGTGGTATCTCAAAGTGGTTTTGATTTGCATTTCTCTCATGATTAAAGATGATAAGCATTTTTTCAAGTGTTTGTTGGTCATTCATCTGTAATCATCAGTGAAGTTTCTGTTCAAGTCTCTTACAAAGAAATGGGACTGTTTATTCTTTTCTTGTTGATTAATGTGAGCTCTCCATAGATTCTAATTATCAGACTTTTGTAAGAATCATAACATGCAAAAATTTTCTACCATTCTTAAGGCTGTTTGCTTTAGTTGTAGAGCTTTTACCTGTGCAGAAGCCTTTTAGTTTTTTTTTTTTTTTTTTTTTTTTTTGATATGTTGTTGGATTCTGTTTGCTAGGATCTTGTGGAATATTTTTGCATCGATATTCATTAGAGATATTAGTCTGCAATTTTCTTTTCTTGTTGGGTGTTTTCCTGGTTTAGGTATCAGGGTGATATTTGCTTCATAGAATGTGATGGAAAGTATCCCTTCTTTTTCTATGTTTTGGAAAAGGTTAAGTAATATAGGTAGTAGTTCCTCATTAAACGTTTGGTAGAATTCTGATGTGAAACCATCTGGTCCTGGGCTTTTCTTTGGGGGGAGATTTCTTATAGTTAATTTTATCTTGGAACTTGTTATAGGCTTGTTCAACATTTCCACTTCTTTCTGACTAAGTCTAGGAGGGTAGCATGTTTCCAAGTATTGATCTATTTCCTTCAGGTTTTCATATTTCTGAGAATAGAGTTTTATATAATATTCATTAAGGTTTTGTGGAATTTCTGAGGAGTCTGTTGTTATTTGGCCTTTATCATTTCTGATTGATGAAATTAGGGATGTTACTCTTCCACTTCTGGTTAGGATAGCCAGTTTTATCTATTTTATTGACCTTTTCAAAAAAACCAATTCTTTAATTGGTTGATTTGTTGTATGATTCTTTTGCTTTCAATTTCATTTAGTTCTGCTCTAATTTTAGTTATTTATTTTCTTCTGCTGGGTTTGGGGTTGGAATGTTCTTCCTTTTCCAGTTGCTTTAGATGTCCCATTAGGTTATTGACTTCCTCTCTTTCCATTCTCTTGAGTAAGGCTTGCATTGCTATAAATTTCCCTCTTAGGACTGCCTTTGCCATATCCCAAGGGTTCTAGAGGCCATTTACAACAAACCCACAGCCAATATCATATAGAATGGACTAAAATTGAAATCATTTCCACTCAAATCAGGAACCAGGCAAGGATGCCCACTGTCCCCACTGCTTTTTAACATTGTAATGCAAGTCTTAGCCATAGCAATCAGGCAAGAGAAAGCAATCAAGGGGATCCAAATTGGACTAGAGGAGATCAAACTGTAACTCTTAGCAGACTATATGATTATGTATCTGGAAAATCACAGAGAATCAACTACAAAACTCCTAGAAGTGATCAAAGAATACAGCAGCGTCTCAGGTTACAAAATTAACACTCACAAATCAGTAGCCTTAATATATACCAACAATAGTCAAGGGGAAAAATAAATCAAGGACTCTATTCCCTACACAAGTGCCAAAGAAGATGAAATATCTGGGAATGTATCTAACCAAGGACATGAAGGACCTCTATAAAGAGAACTACGCAACCCTGAGAAAATAAATAGCTGAATATGTCAACAAATGGAAAATATATACCATGCTCATGGCTGGGAAGGATCAACATTGTTAAAATGTCGATACTACCTAAAGTAATCTAGATTTAATGTGATCCCTATTAAAGCTCCTCTGTCATACTTTAACAACCAGAAAAAAGTAGTACTTTGTTTTATATGGAAACAGAAAAAACCTCGAATAGCCAAGACATTACTCAGAAATAAAAAAAAAAAAAAATCAAGAGGAAACACGCTTCCAGCCTTTAGACTATACTATAAAGTGATAGTGATCAACACAACATAGTACTGGCACAAAAGTTGAGAGATAGATGTATGGAACAGAATAGAACACCAGGAGATGAACCCACTTATCATCATTTGATTATGATAAGCCTATTAAAAATATAAATTGGGGAAAAAATTCCCTATTCAACAAATGTTGCTGGGTGAATTCACTGGCAACCTGTGAAAAATTGAAATTGGACCCACACCTTTCTCCTCTAACAGAAATTGACTGTCACTGATTAAAGGACTTAAACTTAAGACATGATTGACTGTCACTGATTAAAGGACTTAAACTTAAGACATGAAACAATAAAAATTCTTAGAGAGAGTGCAGGGGGAAATGCTTGAGAAAATTGGCCTGGGAGAATACTTTATGAGGAGGACACTCCGGGCAATTGAAGCAACATCAAAAATACATTATTGGGATCTGATCAAATTAAAAAGTTTCTGCACTGCCAAGAACACATTAAGTAAAGCAAATAGAAAGCCCTCAGAGGATTTTTGCAAGTTATAGATACAACAAAGGTCTAATAACCAGAATAGAATCCACAGAGAACTCAAACTAATTACTAAAAAAAAAAAAAAA